AAGAATCTATTCATTCTTGGAGTCCAGAAGGAGATGAAAAAGAGAAAGGGCAAAAAAGCTTATTTAATTAAACAAAGGTTGAGAAATTTCCAAATATGGGTAGAGATTTGGGTATCTAAGTTCCTGACGCTCACAAGTTTGCCCAAAATATCAACCCAAATCCACCTGCTCCAAGTCATATTATAATAAAACCGTCCAAAGACACGGTCAGAATTTTAAAAGCAATACAAGAAAAAAAATCCTCACATAAAATAAATCTTTATAAAGCTATCAACAGCTTTTTCAATAGAAACCTTGCAGGCCAGAAGAGAGTGGGAAGATGTTCTACATGCTGAAAGAACAAAAATCCAACCAAGAATATTTAACCCAGGAAAATTATCCTTCAGAAATGAAGGAAATATAAAGATGTTCCCAGACAAACAAAAGCTGAGTGAGTTCATTACCATTAGAATTGCATTACAAGAAATGCTGAAAGGAGTTTTTCCAGCTGAAGTGAACTAACATTAATTAGTAACATGAAAATATAAAATATTACCCACTGGGAAAAGTAAGTATATAGTCAAATTCAGAACACTCTGATACTATAATAAGATGGTATGTTAATAACAACTTTCATACAAAGGTTAATAAACAAAAGTATTAAAAATAACTATTGCTACAATTATCTGTTAATGTTTACACAATATAAGAATTTGTGATATCCAAACCATAAAATGTGAGGGGGGAAACAAAGGGTAGAATTTTTGTATGCAGTAAAAGTTTAAGTTGTTATTAGCTTAAAATAGACTGTTATATCTATATGAAGTTTTAAGTAAGCCTCATGGTAAGTTTATCTCTGGACTCTCCATTACTTTTGTTTCTATTATAAATAGAATTATAGTCTCATTTTCATTTTTAAATTATTCATTGCTAGTGTATAGAAATACAATTGATTTTTATATGCTGACATCATATTCCAAAATTTTTCTGAATTTAGTTTTTAAATTTTATGCTTCTGTGCGATTCTTTAGTTTTCTATCTACATATTTGTACTATTTGCAAAAAAAAGATAATTTTTCTTCTTTTCCAATATGGATGTTTTTTATTTTATTTTTCTTGCTGATTGCCCTGGCTAGAACTACTAGAATGATGTTGAATAGAAGTGGTAAGAGTTGAATCTGTCTTGTTCATGACTCTACAGTTAAAATATCCAGTCTTTCACCTTAACTATGATATTAGCTGTGTGTTTTGTATAGACGATCACTTTTAGGTTGAAGAATTTGTCTTCTTTCCCTAGTTTGTTAAATATTTTTATCATGAAAAGGTGTTGAATTTGTCAAAATTGCTTTCTGGATTATTGATCAGAATTACATTGGATTTACGGCCAACCCTGGTTATCTAGTGGTTAAGATTTGGTGCTCTAACTGCTGCATTCTAAGTTTATTTCCCAGTCAGAGAATAACACCACCCATCTGTCAGCTGTCATACTGTGGCAGCTACTGTTGCTGTGATGCTGAAAGCTATGTCATCAGTATTTCAAACACCAGCAGGATCACCCATGGTGGACAGGTTCCAGTGGGCTTGCATGCTAAGACAGACTAGGAAGAATGACTTGGCCCCCACTTCTGAAAGAATTGGCTATGAAAAATCCTATGAATAGCAGCAGAGCCTTGGCTCATATAGTGTCAGAAGGTGAGATATTGGCACAAAACTACTGGGCAGTATTTGTACACAGAATTGCTGGGAGTCAGAATTGACTAGATTACACTAACAACATGAACATTGAATTTATACATCATGTTAGGAATATGTTGCATATGGGAAATATTGGGTCATCCTATCCAGGAACATGCAATGTCTCTTCATTTATTTAGTTCTTAGATTTTTTCTTCATAATTTTGTAGTTTTTTAAATATAGATCTTGTATGTATATATTTACACTTATAGCTAAGCATTTATTATGATAATGTAAGTAAGAATGTGTTTTTAATTATAAATTCTGACTATTCACTTCTGGTTTACAGGAAAGCAATCGACATTGTATATTAATTATGTATCATGGAAACTTGTAATAATTATTTATTAGTACCAGTAGGTTTTTATCAGTTCTTTGGGATTTTCTAGGTAGGCAATCATATCACCTGTGAATAAAGACAGCTTTATTCCTTCCTTCTCAATCTATATATCTCTTATGTCTTTTTCCTATCTTATTGCATTAGCTAGTATTTCCAGTACAATGTAAAATAGGAGTGGTGAGAGGGACATCTTTGCCTTGTTTCTGATCTTGTGGGAGAGAATCTAGTTTCTTACAAGTAAGTATTATCTAAACTGTACATATTTTTGTAGATTATCTTCATCTGGTTAAGGAGGATTTCCCTTATTTTGAGCTTGCTGAGATTTTTTTTATCATGAATGGGTGACAACATACATTTTTACGTATCAAAATATACTTTAGATTTATACTAACTCATCTACAGTGAAATACAGAAATTTTATTCCTATACAAGTCCACTTATTTCATCCTTTTTGTTATACAGATGTCATTTGATACATTACAAACCTAAATATATATATAATATATAATTATAATTATAATATATATACAAATATATATAATATAATATATAATTATAATATATATACAAATATATATAATATAATATATATATACACATATGTATTACATTTTACAAATTGCATGTATTTTAAAGAAGCTAGAAGAGAGAAGGAAAGCAAGTATATATCTATAGGACTTCTTATATTAATATTTTTATTTGTCATTTATAGATTTGATTGGCATCTTGTGTCATTTTCTTACTGTATCACAACTTTATTTGCATCTCATATTTTGTCCTTTTATTGTCAAATATATTGCATTTTTATATGTTTTTAACCCAACACCACCTCATTGGAAATATTGTAGCCTCTAATTGCACAAGTGAAGAGAGAATTTTTACCAAAAAAATTGGTGAAATTTAATAAATGAAAACCTTTCCTACAGGCAGGTGTGTGCATAAATATAATGTTGTTGATAGAAGTACAATTTTGCCATACATTTTTGGAAAGCTATTTGGTGGTATGTGCAAAAGTTTAAAGTTATTTAATCAACTAATTACCCTTAAAACTTTATTTTATAAAAATATTTGCATATATCTATAAAATATTTTAATAACTTATGCACAATTTATGAAAAATAAAAAGTATCAGAAAAGTTTTAAATATTTTTCTTATCCATATTCTGAAATATAAGAAAACATTAAAAAGCAAGGATTAAACATTTGTAATCATACAGTATTTGTTTCTGGAAAATATGTTAAGAAAAAATAAACAAGTAAAACAAATATAGTAAGATCTACATAAATATGTAGATATAAATGCTTTTTTTTGCATTTTAATGTTGCAAATATGCAGAAAAAATGCAAAAATAAATACAGAAAAATAATTAATAATTTCTCCCAGGGAAAGAAAATAGGAGTGGAAATGAAAAAGGAAATTTGTTTAAAACATTTTCTCACATCTTGGATATTTTACATGGTGGAAGAAATTATTTCTGCTTGCAACAAATACTAAAGAATGTTAAAGTAAGTTGCAAAGTAAAATGACACAGCCGAATACTTTTGTCCAGGTATGAATTCACAAGTTCAAATCATTCCATTACTTGACAGCATAAAGTTTCACAACAGTTTATTAATAGTATTCCTGTAATTAATTAGATATGTCTTATGGCAGGTCCCTACTGTGTAGATAAATTAGTGAAATGTTGACCTCATTATTTGCACTTCCAACCCTCACTGCCTGTGATGACATGAGGCAGCAGCAGAACTCCTGGCTAATACAGTGAGTTAGCTCTCATTCTAATCAGTCAATTGTAACCACCTACAAAAATACAAGACTTATATAGGTGTCTTTTGAACCTGTGCTTGCCAGTGGGGAGAAGTTTACCACTCAGTAAATGCACTGGTAAACAGAGCAATAGAAATATTTAAACATTGGACAAAAGATTCACCTCATCCAGGTTTTCTTCCTATGTGAGAAAGTGTCCTTTATTAGCCTTATTCTTAGTTTTCAATTCCACAGTGTTTTAAAGAATGGACCCCTGAAATTAGTGAAACTAGAATTCTATTAGGTAAGTGGATTTCCTTCAAACATATATGCATCTCATATTAGCTTTCCAAAGCCATATTTTATATTAAGAAATGTATAAGTAGGTAAATTTCTTTCACCTGTTTACATTCCACTCTCATTTAGGAAAATAAGACAGTGTCATATTTTAACTTTGTTTATTAGACATATGGTAGCTATTTGTCTTTATTGAAGGAAATATTGTCAAATCAGTTTGTTTCTAAATAGTTGATATGGATTCAGCAGAATGTGTGGATACTTCTAGGATTCTATTGACTTATATTATCTGCTTTAGCTGAAGCCCCAGTATACATGTTAGTGATTTTGTTATAATATTGACTATGTGAAAGATGTATATTATTGTCATAGTCTCTATCATTGTCATAGAAAAAAACTGTAAAGCGAAATTTTAGTGCTACCCATCTCTCCTCTCCCCCGCTTATCTATGCTATAATAGCATAGAAAAAAAGTAGAAAAAGAAATGATTTCTCAATTATTTATACTGAGTCTTCCAATATATCCATAAAACAGTTAACTTTGAACTAAAGCAAACTTCCAAGTATAGGTAAAAACAATTAACCACACTACTTTATTCAAAGATTCCATGCTATTTTTAACCTATTCCACTGCACTCAGAAAAATCCTTCATTTATGGATATGTGAGGCATATTTATCTATTTTATGCATAAATTCAAGACCATCATATAAAAATATTCTTACTTGCTTTAATGAATGTCTTAATATTATTTAGTCAACATGCATTGAAAAAATTATACTTTGTGAGATATGGTTTACTCTGGGAGTAGCCTCCTGGTCAATGAATAATGGAACCAACAAAAAGAAATAGATTCTGAGGATACAAGTGAATTGTTCTAATGTTTTCACAGATAAGAATCATCATGTCTGATAAGTTAACCAATGTGACCTTAATAAAAAAATTTTTCCTCATGGGATTCCCTGATGACCAGGTTCTACAGAGACTGTATGTCACTTTCTTCTTCCTGATTTATCTGGCAGCACTGATGGGAAACTTCCTCATTATCACCATCACTACCATTGATAAGCATCTCCAATCCCCAGTGTATTTCTTCCTGAAAAATTTGTCCTTGATTGATATTTGTTATATATCTGTTACAGTCCCCAAATCCATCACGAACTCTCTGAACAACAGCCATTCCATCTCCTTCATGGGATGTGCCTCACAGGTATTTTTTGTTATTTTTTTTGCTGGCACGGAGTTTTCCCTCCTTCTAGTGATGTGCTATGACCGCTATGCCGCCATCTGCCACCCTTTGCACTATGAGGCCATCATGAATAGGAGCGCCTCAGTGCAGATGGTGACAGCATCATGGTTCAGTGGTTGTATCTATGGATTCATTCATGTTGCAGGTACATTCTCTCTCCATTTCTGTGGGTCAAACATAGTGCATCAATTCTTCTGTGATATTCCATCATTGCTTACACTTTCTTGTTCCAGGGAGCAAATTCTAGAATATGTGTTTATTATTGCTAGTTGTTGTTTTGCTTTTGTATGTTTTATTTTAATGGTTGTTTCCTATGTTCATATTTTCTCCACTGTCCTAAAAATTCCTTCTGTACAAGGCAGGTTTAAAACTTTCTCCACCTGCATGCCCCATCTTATTGTGGTGACTTTGTTCCTCTCTTCTGGATTTATTGCATATTTAGGTTCAACACTGAAATCCCCATCATCACTGAACCTGTTTATGTCTGTGTTATACTCACTGTTACCTCCAAGCCTGAATCCTGTCATTTACAGCCTGAGACACAGGGACATGAAGGTTGCCCTTGGCAAAATATTTGATGAAAAAATGACAGTAAAGTTATAAATATCTAAAATATCAATGACTCTGATATCTACTAATGTGTATAAAATTATTTGGTTTACACAAATCGTTGTAGTTATTAGATACTTATTATATCATTGGTGCTGCTACATAGAATACTACATTTATAATATTAGGTTGGTCTGAATGTCAGTGGAGTGTCTTGGCAATTTGCAACTCAGTGGAAATCTTCCAATTATTATGTTCACATCAATAGTTCCCTAGTATAGAATAATATAGTTTTTCATTTCACATCTTCACCAGCACTGGTTTTATTCCCACTTGGAAAGACTTTATGATAGTTTCAAAGTTTACATATTTTATTACAATTCCTGGTCATGATTTTTTTTCCAATTTATTCTTACAATAGTTAATAAAAATGAGTAATTTTAAATTTGTTACTTTTTCTGTTTCTTTTGTTTGTATTGGTCAGGATATTTTTATGAGCTCTGCTTAATTGGTTAATTAAATGATTAATCCCCCAAAGTTGGGCTTGCAAATACTACAGCCACAACAGTCTTTAAGAGAATTTATGATCACAGTATACTGGTAGCAGATATCATTGGAAATCACATAATGACATTTTTAAGAGTAGTGAGATTGGTTTGAAAATGAGACAATTCTCAACAGAGTCTGAAATGAGAAAAAACAAATGTTATCCTTACATACCCAGGAATAGAAAAATTATAAGAAAACACTGTTTTTTTATTCTCACACTTAGTATTTGTAAATTTTAAGCTTCACATAAATTTATATATAAATTTATTTATTTATTTATTTTATTTATTTATTTTGTGTGTGTGTGTGAGGAAGATCAGCTCTGAACTAACATCCATGCCAATCCTCCTCCTTTTGCTGAGGAAGACTGGCTCTGAGCTAACATCTATTGCCAATCCTTCTCCTTTTATTTTCCCCAAAGCCCCAGTCAATAGTTGTATGTCATATTTGCACATCCTTCTAGTTGCTGTATGTGGGATGCCGCCTCAGCAAGGCTGGAGAAGCGGTGCCTCCACGCTCACCCAGGATCTGAACCCAGGCCACCAGTAGAGGAGCACGTGCACTTAACCGCTAAGCCATGGGGACGGCCGCTATGTGTAAATTTAAATAAATATACTAACAAATTAATTTACCTTCAATTTCTTCTAAATTTTCATTTATTTCTAAATTTAACTATTTCTAAGTTTTTATTTAGTTTATTAACATTAAATATATCTTATTTTTAAATTTGTTTCTAGTTTACTTATGAACATTAATACATTTACATGAAAATCAATTTCCTTTTTAACTATGTTGAGTTTTATTCCATTATCCCTCCCTTTATTCTTCTTTCCTACTGTCTTCACAGTCTTGAACTCCTCTTCTTTCTGTCTCATTTGCCTTATATTTTTTCTTCCTTCTTAAAAAGGATATGTTTTCTAGATTCCACATCAATTATGACATAATTTGTCTATTATTTGACTGTTTACTTATGTCCACTCACCATTCCTTACCGCAAAGTTGTCTTTTCCCTTTCCCTCCTTCTGGTAAAATTGGAAGTGGAAAGAAACTAGATTGTCCTAGTCTTGGAATAATGATCTCGATGAGGATGATGATGATGGCATGCCTGTCTATAGGTCTAAGTGCTTCACATGATTTTGCCATAGTTTCCTATATTTATGCACAAAAATCCAAGATAACTTCAAGTTATCCAAGTTACAATAATCTAAGTTAACTTCAAGATAACTACTACTAATTTGTTATTTTAATTAAAGAATTAAAACCAATAATGGGTAAAGAATGTACCCTAAGTCACTTAGCTAGTAATTATCTAAGCCCTCTAATAAATGCCTGTTAACATTTGATGTGTTAACAATAAAATATTATTGTCCTTCATTGCCTAATGGATAAAAAAAATCCGTGGTTAATGTATATACTGAAATACTATTTAGCAATAAAATTAACAAAGTATTGGTATACTTTGTTGTTTGTTAACAAAGTATTGGTAACAAGTTAGGCAAATCCCAAAGGCATAATGATGAGTAAAAGAGCCAGTCTAAAAATGTTACATACTATATGAATCCACTTACGGCATGCTGCAATAGCAAAACTATAGAGATGAAGAGCAGATCAATGGATTACAAAGGTTGATTTGAGGGAGATGGTAGCATGAGGGAGCATTTGTGGTGATGTAACTCTTCTGTGTCTTCATTGCAGTAGTGGTTACCTCATTGTATGCATGCATTACAACTCATAGAAAATTAATGTAAATTTTACATTGTTAAGAGTCAATCAAAAAAATACAAACAATGCCAACAATATTGCAGGTGTGTGACCATCTTTCATGCCCATTTTCACATTCCATTGGCCAGGCTTTTGTGCTGGCTGTCACTTCAGGGTCAGCTGAGCACAGTTGAGCCTTGTTAGAATCTCTTGGCTGCATCTTGTAGTGCGCGTTTTCTGTTTTAGGGTTTCTGGGACATTGCATCGTGGGCTGTCTGCAGGGATGAATTAGTACTATGAGCGAGTTAACACTCACTTTGGAAAACCAAAGGGAAATAAGAACAGATGGGAATCTCCACTTTGCATGTCTTCAACAGATATTTCTGAGGCTCATCTTCCAGTGTTCCTGAGAGAGTCTTCAGTTGCATTGAGCTTTGGCTGCCCACAGCAGTAACTAGATCAATAACACACCTCAGATTGACATGCCTTCCTATATTTGCCTCACCTGAGTGGCTGCTTTCTAGGAATAACTTCTCCAAGTACGCTGTGAAAAGGTCCTTTTCTTAGGTTTTACTTTAAGAAAGACAATCTAAGGCAATAAATCAGTAAAATTTCTTAGAAAATAAAATTTTGTCACTATGCAATGTTATTTTGTTAACATTCAATAATTTTAGATAAAGTTTCCTATCATTTGAAACAGACTGTTAGAGTTTAAGTACACATAAATATTTATTATTTATTTATTTAACAATTTTTATACTTATTACATGGTGGAATGATAATATTTTGCATATGTTGGTTAAATAAAATATATTATTAAGTCATTTCATCTCTCATTTTTATTTTCTTTTTTGTATTGTGGCAACATTGTTTTATAACGTTGTATAAATTTCAAGTGTACATCATTGTACTTCTATTCCTGCATAGACTTATATCATGTTCACCACCCAAAGACTAATGACAATCCATCACCACACACGTGTTCCCCTCCTCCCTACCCCCTTCCCCTCTGGTACCCACCAATCCAATCTCTGTCTCTAGGTGTTTGTTTGGTTTGTTGTTGGTTTTATCTTCTACTTGTGAGTGAGATCATATGGTAGTTGACCTTCTCCCTCTGACTTATTTCGCTTAGCATAATACCCTCTGTGCATTACTTGAAAAAGGCACATATAAATTCATAAGCTATAAAAACTTTTAAAAACTGGACACCATGCAAACACTAAACATTAAGGAATGTTTCTTAATATTGATGAGTCATTGTTTTTGTTAGGGAGGACAGATTTTCCCATTATATTTTAATAATTATATTTATTGGTATAAATTATTTATAATATACTTATTCTATTTTTAAAATTTGTTTCTCTCATTTTTTTAAACTTGACTAGTTTTGCCAAAGTTTTACTATATTTCTTGCTGTTTTCAAGGAATGCTTTCCTTTTTAAATTCTCTTTGTGGTATGCTTGTTTTCCATTTTATTATATTCCGTTCATATGTTTATCATTTTCTCCCATCTATTTATTTTATTTTTTTCTTAGTTTGTTTTATTCTTGAGACAAAAATCAATAATATTCAAACTTTGGTCTTGATATGCTTTTAAAGCAATAATATTGTACACCCTCTAAGTCATTATATGTAATAGTGCTTCATATCCATCAGTTCAAATATGTTATGATTTCTACTGTGATATCTTCTTGACACCTAGGGTTAATAAAAGCATGTCCACATAGATAGATAGATAGATAGATAGATAGATAGATAGATAGATGATAGATTACAGATGGAGAGAAAGATAGAGATTGATAATTTTAACTCAATTGAATTGTGACAAGAGAACACACTGTGTAAAAATTCAATTTTTTGAAAATTTGAGGCATGTTTTATGTTCCAGAATTAGATCAAACGTTGGAAATGTTTAATGTATTCCTGAAAAGAATAATTAACCTGCAGTTGTTAGGTGCATAGCTACTATGTGCCACTTGTATCAATTTATCATACCTCATGTTTGAGGGTTTTTTGTATACAGCATGACAAAATTCTTCATTTTTATTTGGAGCTTATATATTCATATTTAGTTAATGTGCTGAAACGTTTTTGTTTAATTTTATTCTTACAAATATAATGTTTAATTTTGTGTTAATCTTTCCTTAGTCTCTTTTGATTACAAGTTCCATTCAATTTTTCCCCAAAATAACACACACAAACACCCACACAAAGTCCTTTTCTTTCTTTTCTTTTTTTTCTTTGTTTTTTTGTTGTTAAAAATATTTTAATGTCACACTGATTTTTCAAATTCTAATCATTAGCTTTATTCTCATCCCGTGTGAAGCAGAGACAGTAAAACACTCTAACACCAGTTAGAACCATCCAAGCATGCATATTTTAAATTTCTGGTGTCTTGATGAATATTTATATAATTCATGAGATAATTTTTATTTTTGCTTTAGAGTCAGTGTTTATTTGGATCTACTAATATATTTACCACTTTCTTTGCTATGTATTATTTGGTGTACTTCTAAGATTATTTTCATTCTGTCTGAAGAATGTTGTTAAAAATGGTGTTCTAATGGTGTTGGATTCTATATGCTATATGTATTTTAAAATGTCTTCAGTTTGCTTTAGTTCAGAAATGATATTTGGACAATGTTGAGAATTCTGTGTTGGCCATTTATCTTAGAAGTTCTGAACGTTACATCTTACCTATTACTAAAAATAAATAATTAAAATAGAAGTTAGTTCCAAGATTTTGCCCAATTGCCCTTAAAATAATAATATTAATATTTTAA